GGCTGCCACCCCCGCCAAATGTCAGTCACGCCTAGGCTCCCTGCCCACCAACCCGGCCCGCGACAAAGGCAAGCAGAGGCGCCCTGCCCGCGCCCGCCTCTAGCTACGCCGGGACGAAGCGGGAAAATCGCCGGGCCCCCTCCTCTGCGGCCGCGTCCCGAGCTCTGCGCCGGGACGGGGCCTCTTTGGACTGCCCGGGGCAGCGCATCTCCCAGGCTGGGCGCGAGGCTCCCATTCAGACCCAACGGGGCCCGGGGTGGAGATGGGGCGCAGAGTTCGCGGCGGGCGGCGCGGGAAATCTGAAAGGAGAAGTCGCAAGGGGGAATTGGGTCAGGCGCCCCTGAGGAGTAGGCGAGGCTTGGCCCACGTGCCTCTACCGTTTTCCTCCGCAGTCGCGGGTCCCCGCTCGGGGCCAAGGGTCTCTGCACAGCCTCATCTGACCTGCCGCGTGCTCGGCCTCTCAGGACCCCCACCACCTGCACACCTACTCAAGGCCTATTACACAGTGAACGTGGAACACCAGCCTCTGGGCAGGAGAGAGGTCAGCTGGCTGAAGTCTTGAGGCAGGCAGGGTGGTGTCACAGGACAACTAAATTATGGCATAGAACGATGAGGGTGATATTGCAGGACAGGTAGAGCGATGTCACGGATCAGGCAGAAAGATGTCACGCAACAGAATGTAAGGGTATCACTGGCCAGGCTTGCAATGCCACCAGATAATCAGAGGTGACTTCTCAGGGTGAAGGGCAGTGATGATACAAGCCAGATGAGGTGATGTCACGGAGCTGCAGATATCCCATTCTTCTAGATCACACAATAGTGGGCTAAGTATCAGCAAAGTAGGGCTCACAAAAAATGAGCAGCAATTGTTAAAACCTGTTTATTTTGAAGTGGCACAGCGGGAGAAACAGGACTATATTATTTTCCTGTTCGATATTGTTTTCATTTTGAATTATGTCACAGGGCCATAGTCTTTTGAGTACTCAGGGTCCCCAGTCCACTGTGGCCTTGCAGCAGTGTGGCATCCATCCCATAGACATTTCCGGAGGCCCACTGTGGGCCTGGCCAGCCGCTGGAGCTGGGGAAGCCCCTCCTGGGGCTTCTAATCAGGTGCTGGGGGAGATGGCAAGCAAAAATAATCATTCTGTTATAAGTGATAGACATGGGTGGGCTGGGGCACCTGGGTGGCTCAGTTGGTTAAGCGACTGCCTTCGGCTCGGGTCATGATCCTGGAGTCCCGGGATCGAGTCCCATGTCGGGCTCCCTGCTCAGCAGGGGGTCTGCTTCTCCCTCTGCCCTCTTCCCTCTCGTGCTCTGTCTCTCATTCTCTCTCTCAAATAAATAAATAAAATCTTTTTAAAAAAAAAAAAGAAAAAGAAAAGAAATGGGTGGGCTGCTGGGGGAGAGGAAACCCTTCTTTTGATGGGGTGTTCGGAAGTCTTCTCTGCGGTGGGATCTTCTGGGGAGAAGGCAGCTCTGCAAGGCCCCAGGGGGAGGGAATGGCATCCCCAGGGTGGCAAAGGGGCCATGGGGGCCGAGGGAGGTGGGGAAGGGGCAGGCAGAGGCACAGGGACCTGGAGGCTCCTGACCCCAGGAGTGGTCTGGGAGAGCCTTGGGGGGCTTTTCTGAGCAATGAAGTGAGCCGAATGGCGAGCCTCGATGGGTCAGCTCAACTGCTGTGGGTCTACATAGTGGGTGTCCACGGCTGGCCCCTGTCCCAATCGATACCCATTTCCGGGTCCCACTCTGGCCCCCACCAGAGGCCTTCTTTCCTTTCTGAGGCTGATTCTAGTGTAGTGTCAAGCGAAGTCCCCGCCTGCCCTCCACCGATGCCCCCCCTCCTCCGGCGCCGGGGCGGGGCATGGGGCAGCTCAGGTCCTCACCACCACACAATCACTTCTACACAGGCACCTAGATGAGGCTACCCATTTTTCCCCTTTCCCGCCTAGAGGAGCGTGCGGGGGAGTGGAGGGGCCTTGGAAAGCAGCTGGGGTCAGGAAGGAATCTGAGGAGGGGCCGCTGCTAGCACAAAGAGCCCTGGGAGCGCCGACCGGTCCAGTGCAGGGGCAGCTGGGACCAGTCCTGCTGTCCAGGAGGTCGCGGAGATTGCAGAGGACAGAAGCCCGCGAGCGCCCCCAGTGGCCACTGGAGACGACTCCTCCTCTTGGGAGTTGCCCGGTGCTGCTGGGCTCTGGGCGGCCCCCAGCCTTGCGCGCAGGTCAGACAGGCAGGAGTTCAGACGGAAAGGAGAGGCCTGAGGAACGACGTTCTTGCTATCCTTTCCCTGACTAGTTGTTAGATGGGATGACTTACCTTCCTGTACCTGCTTCCGCACCTGTAGAGTGGGTCATCTATTTATCCCAGGATTATTGGGAAGATAAATGAGATCTATTCTGAAGGTACCCAGCATGTAGTGAGAACTGGGTATATGTCAGCTACCTCGTTGTTACTGCCTCAGGGAAGCCGGGTGGGCTAGAACTGAACAGAGGGGAGACTGAGGCAGGGAGGAGATGCCTGTACTCAGCTTCATCATATGCCCCATAGTGCTCTCCACACTTTGAGCACCCCCTAGGCTCATCCTCAGAGGCCTGCCAGAAAGGAAAGGATGCTCCCCATCCAGGGTCTCCAGGGGCCTGTGTCTTGGCCTTCCCAGCCTCAGTCCCAGCAAGGAGCCCTCCAGAGGCAAGAGCAAGGTACGCTTTCCCAATATTGTAATCACCTACACCCCCACTGTGTCTTTCCCACAGGGCCACACCCCCACGGTCTGTATGGTCATGTCCCTCTGGGCCCTTGTCCCTCAAACTTTCTCTGTAAGGAAGCACAAACTGGCCCCATGGACAGGCCACAAGGAGAGGTCCCATGGAAAGGCCTTGTGTGGGTGTTGCAGCCAGCGGCCCAGTGGTCTCAGCTGCCACACACATTAGTGAAACACCTCCAAATGACCCTAACCTGAAGTTGCTGTCGCCACTCATTTCACATCTTCCCAGCTGCCCCTGCATGCTCTGTTCCAGTTCTGGATTCACAGAGTGGGACAGTTGTTTACTATGACATTTGTTACATAGCGGTAGTAACTGGAATAGCTGGGATGGACCAAGCCCTGGACCCAGGGACAGTGGCCTTTTCCTCCCACCCACCCCTTCTTCCCTGTCCTTTTTCCTTATTTTCTTTTTTTTTCCCCAGAGATTTTATTTGTTTCTTTGACAGAGAGAGACACAGCGAGAGAGGGAACACAAGCAGGGAGAGTGGGAGAGGGAGAAGCAGGCCTCCCACCGAGCAGGGAGCCCGATGCGGGGCTCGATCCCAGGACCCTGGGATCATGACCTGAGCCGAAGGCAGACACTTAACTGACTGAGCCACGCAGGCGCGCCTTTCCTTATTTTCTTTAGCATTTACAGATGCTCAGTGGCTTTGAACCGTGGCTTTCCATCTGATGAGATGCTTCTTGGGAGCCATCAAAGGCCTGTCTGTCTTCCTGGACCCAGGCCCGAGTGGGCCAAGCCCCAGAAGGCTGATGGCCCAGGGGGCATCTGCAGGGTCCACTGATGGCCATTGCGGGGGAGCAAAGCAGGAAAGTCAGTGGGGGAGTTTGTGAGGAAAGACAGAGGTGTCTTCTAGGCCAGACATGGGGCTCTAGCCTCGTGGGGGTGGAGGTCTCACATCTGGCCACTGAAACAGCATTCCACATGACAACATGCAACCCATGGCTTCGAGGGCTTGCGAAGTGCTGTTTGTGCACACCCCACCCCCCAACCTCTGACACGGGGATGCCAACTGCATTTACACCCTGGCCCTCACATTCCTCTGGCACATAGATTCCAGTACATCAGAGACACCATAGACCACCACCCGCCCCTGTCCCCCATGCACCCTTCTTAGAGTCTGCTCCCACCTCTCCTGCCAAGAGGCATCAGCCCATTGATTCAGGCAGCTGGGACCAGAGCTGTCAAGTGACCAGGCTAGAACCATTGTAGGTTCTCTCCTGCAAAGTGGCAGCTGGGGGCTAAGTCTTTCATCAGTGTTTGCTGGAGTCCAGCAAATGACAAAGGCCAGGGCTGATGGAAACCAGGATGCAAGGTAGCGACGAGGTAATCAAATGCCCAGGACCCAGGTAGAGGCCAGGAGCACAGCTTGCTGATGTTGAGGTTTGAGGTTCCAGGACAGTCCTCATCCTCCGTGGCCAAGAGGGTGTCTTCCACCCTTACAGGCTATGGACCTGACACAGCTTCCCTCAGCTACCCTGAATAGTGGGCAGGGAGAGCATTCGCTCCCCACCCAGCACATGCTGAGTGACAGCATCTTCCCCATGGTCTGGGCATTGTTAATATCTTTCTCCAAAATCTGAGTGCTGACACCTCTCCATATTTGGGAAGTCATATCTCTCCAACCTGGGAAATGACAGAATCTCCTCCCAATTCCTGTCTGCATAGGATGGCTCCTGTGGGTACTGCTGTTCACTGTTCTTGGACCACTGCACCTGGGGAAAGGTGAGCTTCCTTGTCCTTCCTCTTTGGAACTTCCAGACCAGTCTCTTCTCTACCACAAAAGCCCCAGCTTTCAACCTTGTATTATCACACCTTACCTTGTTGAAGTTGTCTCGGCGCCTGGGGGCCTTGTCTCATTTCCCATGTGTTTTAGTCCTGATTCCGTCACTTTCCCCAACCACTCCTACCATAGTTTCTGGTGATTTCAAAATCCACAAAGATGATTCTCCAACCTTCTGGACATCCTCCCCTTCAGCAGTCCTTTCACCTCTCCACTTGGCCA